CCAAATCATGCTAGTTAACTCAACAGACCTTCCTTAGTTCTCATAATTTGTAGGAGTTCACAAGACCATTATGAATTCGGAATTCCTCCTGCAAGCATTATAATTGTTTTCTTCAAGAAGTTCCACTTGCATCAAAATGGGCCATGACTTGTTCTCACATTAGTTGAGGGCAGCATCGTTGAGGACCTCTGACAAATCAGTACTCCCTTCATCCCATTTTTATTGGCCCTTTCCACTCCCTAGTGGCAACTAACTTATCTTTGATCCACTATTTCAAATATATGTTTTTAAAAATTTAAGATTCCAATTAAAGAGAAAAGTGGTACTTTTCATATGTTTCTTAATGCATAGCTTATAACTTATACAATTAAATTTACCATTGCCAAAACTTAATTCAAAGCTTAGTAAAATTGACCAAACGGAGTAAATTTTTTCTATTTGCTTTAAAGTGAGGACTGAGCCACTGAGGAGTATAAAATCTCACTCCAACTTATAGGGTTCTAGAAATCCAGCTAATGTTTGCCATGAAAAAATACTCCCTCTTTCCTCTGAGCCCATGGAGATTGTTAGTAATGTAGAAGAACAAAAGTAGGAAAAGGGGAGAAAGTTAACTGATTTCATCATTCTTGTTTTCTCCTTATCATCTAGTGTGGTTGTACACACATATAGAGTATATACGGACTATGTTAACTCTTGGCCCTTTATGACTCTTCCCTCTAGATAAGTGAATTACATTCTAAACAGAGATTACTAATTTTGTAAACCTCCAAGTCATATGCAAGTAAAACTACTTTCATCAGATATCAGGAACCACAAAGTTCTTTACACTCCTCCCAGTGTAGAACTGAACATTCATGCTAAAGTTCAATACTGCTTACATAAAACTTGCAATGGAGTACTAAATCTCTGCCATGATCACTTCATAGAAAAATGCACATGAAGGAAACATATATAAGAATATTAAAAAAAAAAAAAAAAAAAAAAAAAAAAAAAAAAAAAAAAAAAAAAATCATGCAAAGAGAATCTGCAAACACCAAAAAGTAGTTTACAATTGGATCTCAAAACAAAGTTAGAAGCATACTCCTTCAGCCTTCAATATCCTAGCAGCACAATGCAGTCCATTCTTGTACTTAATACCATTGGCAGAAGTGTTGTGTTTTTGGAGCTTTACCTGACAAATACGAATTGCGACATTCGAACAGATTTTTCATTAATTCTAGGACCTCAGTTCATTAATTCAAAACAGTACAGAGATACTCAAAAAGAAAAGCAACTGTGTCTAACATCAGGACTTGATCAAGTGTATCTTAAAACTTTAACCATGTTTTCTTAAAATGTAGAACTGATTTAATATCCATTTTATCCAGCATTGATGGCTTTATGGAGATGATTCATAGTTAGTTAACATTTAAACCAAAATTCACTAATACCCTTTTAAACTGTTGTAGTTTCTAAACAAAAATCGTGTAAATTGAATATACAAGTTTTCTACTACCTTCTTTCTTTTTCCTCCTTGAGTGGCCAAGTGAGGAAAACATAGATACAAAATAAAGCAAGAACGATCTCTGCTCTCCATATAGCATATAAACGATCAGAAGAAACATTCCCTTCTGCGCTTTAAATCTAATTACAACTTACAGGAAGCAATATATAACACTTGCTGCAGCTGTTCACATTCACAAAGTTAAAGCTACTAGGTAGTCAGGAGTCCAAATAAAGGGATGACTACTTGATATAAAGTGACCAACACTAACAAATGAAGAAGCAAAGATCATTTAAACTTTGCACAACAAAAGTTTGATGAATACTATGCTCGAGACAATCTATATCAGTCTATATATAATACTCCATACTATATATAAAAGTGCCTTAATTTGTTCCCATCTTTTTTTGTAAAGAGCAAAATACCATTTACTTAAATTCTATCTTCCTTTTTATTTCACTTAATAATTATTGATTATTTGAATCCGCATTCATACTTTTATACTCTTGATTTGCATCATATTCAGCACAAATGACAGGCACATACATTTTACTAGCTTTCTACATCCGGTTTTGCTTCATCAAGTAACAATGCCCTTTAATCTTTGAGCTATGTGAAGCTGTATGTCACATGATCAAAATACTACGAACAATAATTAATTAGATTAGCTATCCTGTGCAACGAAAACTGAGATGAATTATAAAGAATGAGTAATTAATGCAGATGCGTGTTCTCGTATCGAATGATATTATGATAATAAGGAGAAAACAAAGTGAACCGGATCGAAATACCTTGACTGTATCGAATGGGTGCCCGGCAATCACAGTGGCAACTCCGGCTAACATTCCCGCCACATAATCTTTGTACCCTGAACTCTCCCCCATATCTCTCTCTCCCTCTATCTCTCTCTCTCTCTCGCTCGCTCACTCACTCACACTCACACTCACACACACACACAAGTTATGGTGTGATTTGAGGTGAGGATCGAGGTGCCATTATCATATAGCCTGTTGTGCAATTTTGCAGGGTTTTAAAATCGGAAGGGTTTTTGGCTCAGTGGACCAAAGAGCTTGAACGGCGGTGGCACTTTTAGCAGCGCCGGTGAGTGCTGGGGGCGGCTGCAGTTAACGGCGTTCAGGCGTTGAGTCCATCATCCGCGCTTTATTTTCATTTTCTTACCATTTTAGGGAATTTTGCATTTTACTACCTATAGTTTGACTTTTCACAAGTTTGCATATTTTGGGCATCTTCAATAGTTAGAAATTTTACCTAAATTTTTGTGGATCCCAACATCCACCTCATCATTCATTATCTCACTCAATCACAAAATTTATTTTTTCATTAATTTTAAGTTTTTTCACAACTTTTTGTGGACCCACCATTTTATATCTGTATTTTAATTGTTTATTTATTTATTATTATTATAAAAAATTATAATTATAATTATTATTTTTATTATATTTAAATTACACATATCAAAATTAAAGTAAGTTGAAAATTATAAATGTTTACAAATTTTTTAAATATAATTTTATTGCATAAAAATTTAATAACAAAATTCAACAAAAAAAAAACTTTAAAAAATTAACTTTTCAGCTAAAAAAAAAAAAAGAAAGAAAAAAAAAATTAATCGGAGGAGCTTCAATGACATCCATAACTAAAGCTGTTTTTCTCCTGCAAAATCTCCGTGCTTACAGGAGTTTAAAACCATTAAAATCTTTCCTTCCCAGTTGTCTAAAATCTCCAACGTACCAAAATTCCCTTAAAACACACAAATGGAGATGCCCTTAGGTTAAGTTTCTTTTCCTTATATACAATAATCACATAAATAGTATCTAGATAGGTAATATAATCCTGACCTAAGCCCCTAATCGAACTATTCATTCTTAGAAAACATATATATAAAGGAAACACAAATAGGTAATAAGAACATTGCACAAGGTAATAAAAAAAAAAAGACTTGAGAAAAAAATTCTTTATTGAAGATGACTAATGTATGGTTGAATTCAACTCTAATCAATGATTACAGGACTTTGAAATAAGTTCCAAAATGAAATACTAGCCTAATTTTCGCTACAAGTGTCTAAAGAATAAAAAGAAATCAGTATCTTTTCATGCCCAACTCTTTATACTATCAAAAGACCCTAAAATCTCTAATAATTCGTAATAGGGGACTACCACACAGGCATGCACACACTCATGTCTGAACATGAGCTAACTCACTGGCATCGCCTATATCCAAAGATGGGCATGCGCACAGGCGTTGCACCGCCTCTGTGACAATCAATGTCAGAATTCCAGCCATCTTTTGTGCGTAAGAGCTCGTCCATACAATCTCCTTCCAAAGTACTCAAGCGTGACACCGCCTATGCGACCATGCCATAATTTCATCAATCTTTTGCGCGCAAGAACTCGTCTATGCAATAAAATCTCATTCCAAACTACTCCATAATGCTCTTAACTGTCTCGAAAGTCATGCCCTTACTTACATTGACATTGTGGGTGTTGCCAAACCAACCAACCGCTATATCATGCACCAGGGCGCACAATGCATTGAGCGCCTTGTCCAAAACGACGTCGTTTTTTTATGTTCATATTTTATGTGTATTATGTTAAAAGTTTACGTGTATTCAGTTATGACTTTATATGTATTAAAAGTTTATGTGTATTCTGAGAGTTTATGTGTATTATGTTAGATTATATGTATTCTGTTATGAGTTTGCATTCGAAACAATGATTTTTATTTTTTTTTTTAAATTAACAGCAGAAACGAGAAATGAAATTTCTATTAAAAAAAAAAAAAAAAAAAAAAAAACAAGCCAAAACAAAATCATTTTGGTCCGAGCGCATAGTACATGTCCACATGTTCTTACGGGAGGGACTATATGTGCACCGTTTTGATATTTGAGGGACAATATTTACGTCACTCATAATTCAGGAATAACATTGATAATTGGTATATTATAGATGAACTTTTTTAACAATTTTCCTATTATTTACTACCTTGTTCATTCTCTATGGGATATTTGTGTGCAGTTATTATACAATATAAAACATTGAACCTCTTATTAACAACTCGATCCAAATCCTTATCCACCATTAATACCAACTTATTTGATTTATCCCAAAAAAAACTTGTAATTGCTATCTCAAGAATTAATTAATTTTAATGTATCCACACGGGTTTAGCTCAATAGTTCAGTAGTTCAGTGAGCAGTGGATAATATTTGAGAGAAGAGATCAGAGTTCAAATCTCAGCAACAGTAATGAACAGATTCCCCTTCTGCCATTGAGTAATCACCGTTTTACATCCTCCCAAATATTTTGCGGGGTGTGAGGTCTTTGGAGTTGGGAATTCAACATTTTGAGAGAAGTTAATTTTAATCTACTAAAAAAGGGTAATTTTAATAATAAAAAATGAAAATATCAGTTATCACTATCGACAAACGGCGCAAGTGCCAACTGTCTAAATTGTTGATCTGCCAGGTTTAAGATAAGGTTGACAACACAACGACACTAACACAAAACAACCTTACTATTATTATTCATAATCATTATTATCACCCCTATTATTCTAATTTATTACTCGGAATCTCCGACTGATGCGCACACAGATTACTATAAACTGATTTGGCATCATCGGAGGAGTTAGGTCATCACAAAACCTTAATTACAACAAACCATACCAAAAACAAAACCAAAATTAAACAGGAAGCATGACGCCATAGCCGTAACTAATATTCTTAATTAAAGATAATTATACGCCATAGCTACGCTTCTTAACCGGAAAATTTAACCGCCGGCAAAGCAACTGACGACGGACCCACACCCTATTTACACGTACGCAAACACACTTCTTGTCGGCGAATGGCACGAAATGAACCCCTCCGATCGATCTTCAACGATGCTTGGATCTTGTTTCACCACTATACAGCCTGCAATTAAGTAGCTTTGGTTAATTACATAAAGTGAGATTTAGTTAGATAAAAAAAAAAAAAAAATTGATGGCCCACCAGTCATAAACAGTAGGAGAGTTGGTATTCTTAGGCTTGTCGAAAACCTGGGCGCCGATGTTCTTGGTGGCGAGGTTGCTGCCGGGGTTGAAGACACTCCTCCACACGTTATCTTTACGCGCCGCCGTGGGCGACGGAGTGGTTGGTGTCATCGGACCTACAGGGCTGACCGGCATCGACAAAGAGCTCTGGTACTTGCTGGATCCTTCTCCAACCCCAGAATCTAATCGCAAAACACAACAACCAACCAAACATTAACAACTAAAAACAGTACAAAAACAATCAAGTCCCCTTAAAAACTCTGAAATCTCAATCAAACCGCTAGATCACAACATCTTTGAGATGCATATATGCATGATCGGAGAAGTTAAGAATACTTGTTTTGACAGTAACTGTCTGCGTGCGAAGCTTGTCGAAACCTCGATCTCCATTTCTACGAACATCATCCCAACTCCTATCAATCAAAACCATCTTTAACAACGTTTGCCTTCCTTCTTTTTACCCCTTAGCTTCTGTGTTTTCTCCCTAGCTATGGCGGCTAAAGTGAGAAACTTCTTTTACTTGGCCTTGTGATATATAGAGGCTTTGGACTTTTTGGAAAGATCTCCCCACACTCTTTACCACGGTTAACTTTAATTTGATTATATGGCTAAAGTGCCACGACAATTCGCTATTAATTTGATTATTTGTTCAAGAGTCATTGAAAAAGATAAATTATGAATTTAGAAATAACCCAATATTGGATAAATTAAAATTTGATAGAAACAAGAATTGGGTGCAAGAACGTTACCAACTTTGACGGTAAGGCTCTTGAGCTTGCCAAGGGCAGGGTGGGGTCCAGCCATCACATCATCCCAGCAATCTGCCATTTTTGTTCCCTTTCTTTTTTCTACTGTATTTGTTCTTGTGTTAGTTGTGTAGTTTGTGAAGATAACAGAATGCTAATCCTCAAATAAATACTAAGATTAGAGCTAAAAAGTTTCCTAGTATCTTGTAAATTCAGTTGCAAAAACTTCCCCGTTTTGAATTTGTCTTTTTTACATGAAATATATTAATATAACGAAATTAGGAAGATTATTTAGTGTTTAACCAAATTAGAAAGTAATAAGTGAAATTTTTTTTAAAAAAAATCGTTTTTTGGATAAGGATGAGATCATGAGAGTAGTGGCAAAAGTGGGACCCGGTAGAGTAGACAATAATCCCTCTGAGTGAGGGATGGGTGTCCAGGTGTAATCAGATTTTAATGAAGTGTGTCATGTTCTTTAGTAGAAAACGTGGGGTCCATGCATGATGGAGTCTACAGACTACAGTTAATTTAAGTTTGATTTGGGATCCAATTCCATGGAAAAAGGTGCATGATTCACCATGATGTGATTTTTTTGATCTTATGATAAGATTTCTCTACAAAGACTTGCATTTCTTGGATGCACTAACTTCTTTTTTTAACTGTTATCTCAGTTTCGTCAAAATAATTCTAAATTCACATAATTTTGTCCCTAGAGTCACTGTGGAGGTAAATCACAAGTTGCGTCATCAATTGATCATTCAAATCTTAATTTTCATGTCTGTACAAATTATTCAATCCAGACCTTCCAGTATCCTTTGATACACTAAATTGAAAGATCAACCAGATGATAAGTATTATATTCTTTGTACACGTGTGTAACTTTGAGTTCTCAAAGATAATTCATAAGTCATTTACAAGCTTTTAAAAATACTCCATAAGAGATAAATCATTATCTAATTCGACCATCTAATAAGGAATTTACGAGCACAACCAGGCATATTCGATTCGTACGATATTAGTCGGAACCAACCATCTATGATCGCTGCTAACCTCATTTACCTACCAGAGTTCTCGATATGAATAAGCGTCTGATAGACTCTCTTCAACTTATATTGTGTCCGTCATTCCTGACTGGACCCAATGAGTTGTCGAGCCTTTTCCTCCAGAATTACCTCAAAAGGTAATCCCCAATTAATCCCCAACAGAGCAACTAGTCATATCATATTCCATCACATTTTTAGTGTCATCTAAACACTTTGCATGAAGATTCTAACAATCAAACCTACATTCAACACGTGTAAGATATGACCGTAACTTGACATGTTTACTCTGCCTCGCCTATAAAATGTGCATTAATTGTTAGTATGGGGGGACTTATAGACCTTGAGCCACCTCAAACACTTTACTTTCGACCACACCATATTCACTTCTCAATATTATCACTGTCTAGAGTAGTTAGATTCATAAAGCTACATGATCACATTTTTTTTACCAAAAACTTTAGTATTTAGCATAACACCATCTATTATACATTTAACATAAAAATGAGTCACTCCCAAAATGGCACGTTTTTAAGTCATTGACAACATTTTTTCCGCACAACCTATAGGCTCTTAAGTCTTAAGGTTAAGGATGGACCAAACTTCAACCCCATTTTCACTGCTGATAGAGTCTTAGTAATAGTATATACATAAACCTCGTAAGCTAATAACTTAAGTCATTACGAATCAACAATTGTTATACAGGGACAATGGTCCATATAGTACTATGTGAACCATGATCTTCAAATAAAATTATAGTATAATTAAAATAATACTTTAGGGTTGTTATAATGAAACTAGCGTGTGTAATAAAAGAAACTAAAAAGCATAACTCATCCAACAACGTATATTGTCAAATGAAATTGTAGTATAATTAAAATGATAATTTACTATAATGAAATTAGTGTGTAGAAAATGAAACTAAAATCCATAATCATACACTAACATATATTGTCGAATGATCCTAGAGTGTAATTAAAATATCATTTTAATATTACTATAATTAAACTAATGGGTATGGAAAATGAAACTACAAAATAGAGCTCATGCAATAATGCATATTGTCAAATGAAACTGTAGCATAATTAAAATGATACTTCGTTATTGTTATAACTAGTAATCCACCCGCGCGATGCACGAAAAAAAATTATGTTATTGTGAATATAAATAAAAAATAGAAAAACTAAAATATTTTAAATTATTTAATATAATAATATTTTTGAGCTTCCATTGGTCAAGTATTTATTATTTTTATAGAATACAAAATTACAATTAAAATTAAAATTATAATTTTGTATGGTTAATATAATCTCTAATTATGTGCATATTCAAATAAATTTATAGAGATAATTTACATAATTACATTGATTTATTCTTAATTGTATTTCATTTATATTATAATTTTCACATAACAAATACTAGCTAAGATAATTACATTTGGAAAGCAAATTTCAAATTTTGTATGTGTAAATTTAAACTCTAATTGAACACATTTTTTATATGATTATATAATATATAGCTATTTTATTTTTCAAAAGTATATTTTTTTATATGATTATATAATATATAGCTATTTTATTGTTTAAATGTTGTGTTTTTTTTTTTATTTATAATAAAGGATGTTGTGGCATTAATTGTAATATTAATTATTTTTCAAACCATATAGCTTTATTATATAATAAAGGATGAAATTAGTGTGTGTGAAAAATGAAACTAGAAAACAAAGCAATAATGTCAAATGAAATTGAAGTGTAATTAGAATGATATTTACTTCATTGACCACACTGCTACACGGACCATGGTCCACAGCAAAATTTGCCACGAAAACTGGTTATACCATGGACCATGGTCTACATTGCAATGTGGACCCTGGTCCTAATCGATGTATAAATGTGTATATTTAGTATTGAAATTGTGAATTTCTAGAATATAAATTGTGTTTCTATGTCGAAACACATAACAAGTTGTAGAAGGGAATTTGTGAATACAATACATGGTCATCAAATTCTAATATGTTAATATTGTGTGACGGTAGTATTTGAAAGAAATTTTGTGAATATAAAATAAGATATTAATTACATATATGTTAATATTGTGTTATAGAAATTGTAAATTTTCAAAAGGTAAATTGCGAAGATTGGACCGGATCTATAGAATAATTTGCGCAATTTAAAAGGCCAGTTTTTGTTTTTTTTTTTGGGCTCACGGAGATGGCAGTAGCTTTCACCCAAGTGGGCCCTTCAAGCACTTATATGGACCAAAAAGAATATGGGTCACATCGTTAATCGCCCATTAACTTCCAAGAGTCCGGCCCGTATCCGGAACTGGAGGCTTTGATGGCGCACTAATTTCCGGCGGATTGGAAGTTTGATATATGCAATTACAAGCGAGTAAAAAGTCTCCTCTATCAACGGTTCGGAACTTCCCTTAAAGTCAAGGTCAAACCATTCAAGACTTTAGAGTGAAGAATTGACTTTCTCATTAACTATTTTATTGTTTATGATTACTACTAACCATTTCATTATTTATAAATTTTTTTTTTTTATGAAAGTTTTGTTTTTCATTTTTCAAATTGTGAAGTTTTATTTAATGTTACCAAAAGCATTGAATAAGAGGACATGAGTTTCTTAATCACAATATCAACAGGTCAAAATAATTTGTATGTAACAAAATGGCGTGATGTCCTTCTCAACTAATGGCAAATTAGTCTTAAGGGCGTTGGGTAAAATCTCTCTGGCTTGACCGTCAAATTACTTTCTTTTGCGTTAACAATTATCGCACCACGGAAACAAAAAAAAAACAAAAAATAAAAAAAAATAAAAAACTTATGATGCAATTATTGATTGACTCGTTAGAGTTAATAACTAACATAGATGTTTGGAATCTCTGGCTACCATCAACAACTCAAGAGATAAAATCTACCTATCAAATTGAGTTATGATGCATTTCGAAGCTTTTAAGACTTTAAAATTGAATAAGTTTATTTTATATATATATATATATATATATATATATATATATATATATATATATATATATATGTATTTAATGAAGTTATATCTATGTATTACATCATAAGTAACTAAAATAAAGTTCATGAATAAAAACATATCATAATTAAAGTATACTTAACTTAAAGATGAACTTATCACAAAATACCAAACTAAATTGTACTTTTATTCTCCGTTTCACTGTACAATCCTCACCGTTGGATGTTTCCCTTTGCACCATTGCTTTTGTCGTTGGTTAGCTAGAATAAATGAATACTCCCTCCGTCCCGAATTGGTTGTCTCATTTGCTTTTTGCACGCTTTTTAAGGAATTAAAGTAAATGTTATGTATTTTTCAATTATGCCCTTCACTTTTTCACTTTTGGGAATAAAAGCAAAAGTCATAAGGGTAATTTGGGAAAAAGTAGAATGATGGTGATGTTCAATTTTGGAAAGAGGACAACATTTTGGGACAAACTAAAAAGGAAAGTAAGACATGCAAAATGGGACAGAGGGAGTATTTAATAGTGCATGGGGGGAAGTGGTTGGGGTGGGATGGACTTTGAAAGCTTAATAGGGTAGGCAATAGGCATCAATGAATATTATGAATGAAAATGATGAATGATTAGCGGCCCCAGTGTGACGCATGCGCACACTTACTCCCTGGACCCGCAATTTTTAATTTACACGTGACCCGTCAATATTCACTAATGAGCAATGATTATTGTTTCCTCCTTTCTCACGGATCAAGAGTCTAAGATCGTTTTCCGCTATTCCGACGGCCATCGTGTAGCCTCCACCAACACTTTCCTACACCTCAGTAG